GGGTTTAAGTGTTCAGCCTTGAGGCAAACAGGTGATAAAGGACCAGATAGAAGGGGGTTTGAGTGCCTGGGCTATCTTGCAGCCAACATCTGTCCAGCCTGCCCTGCAGACAACACAGTTCAGCCTGCTCTGCACCCAACAGGGTGGCTGTCAAGATGTCAAGCTCCCCAGTCCCAAGTCCTGCTGAAATAGCAGACGTGGGCAGAATCCTGACGGGAAATAAAGGCTCATCTTTGGGTGAGGGGGAGGAGGCACCAGGACCCTTGTGCAGAGAGACGTATTTGTGGGGACAAAAAGGAGTCGGTGCAGAGAACAGGAGCCTTCTGCAGCTCGGTTGCCTGCAGAACTGACGCCAGCCGGCCTCAGGGACAATGGTCTGGGAGGTCTGATTCCTAGGCTGGTGTGAAAAGAAAAATAGGTTCTGTCCTCTCTGGGGGGAGCAGGCAGGGGGCCCCAAGTAAGGCTTCCAGCCTGGACACAGGCCCCTCGTAGGCATGAACGGCCATCTAGAATTGACACTACCTCCCGTAGTTTCCCCGCTCCTCAGTGCACCATCACAGGAGGAAGGAGTTGCCCAGAAATCCCTGGGCGGGGGCAGGTGAAAACCAGGCAGGAGGGGGCCAAGGGCCATGAGAGTGGGCCTGGGGGAGCAAGGAGGGACAGTGAGGGCCAATTTCTGGCCTTCACAGGGTCTCCCACGCTCTGCTCTTGACTCCCCCATTCTGGAACAGCCCCCTTGAGTGCAGGCTCCCATCAGAATGGGGCTGAGGATGAGGCTGAGAACATGAACCCAAGAGCAGCCGGGAGCCATCCTAACCGTGTCCGAGAGCGGGAATCCCGCGCCTCCAACCTTAGTGCCTGACTTACCTATTTCATCCAGCCGGCAAGACCACCTGCCAGAGGTGGACCTGCGAGTGCGACAGGAGGGCTGCCCTCTGCTTCCGCCGCTATGTGAGCACCTACAACCGCAAATATGCCCATTACCCCAACAAGCTGTGCACGGGACCCACCCCGCCCTGCTAAACTCTGCTTGGCTGCAGCCCCGCCTCAGGCTGCTATAATCCCAGTCCTGAAGAAGTTTACAACCCAAGGCCCTTCCTCTGGAAAATTCCGTCCCTTCCCCAGAGTTTCCACACTTCCCCCAGGAAGAGCCTCAGGAGCCATGGGCCTTTGCAGCACCCACAAGACTCAGTAACCTCACCCATTCTCTCTTCTGAATAAGTGAATATGCTCTCTTTAATTCTAGGATTCTCTGATTTGCAGATTTTGTCATGCTAGGTTTTGATTAGTCTATAATCCCATTCTCTCATTTATTCATTTGTTCATTCGTTCATATTTTGAGCACCTGCCATGCACCACCCTGGTGCTAAGCACTGGAATATGGTAGGAATGAATCTGACTTGGGGTCCCATCTGTAATGCCAATATTAAGTCCTTTTAATTTTCCACAGCAGTAAGTTTCCATTATTCTCTTCTTCTAAAGTTCTACAATCTTCTCTGAGACAATAATGGCAATCTCCAAACGGAATATTTCTGGCCATATGGCTTAATGTAAGAAGGATAAAAACTACCAACCTAAAAATATTGTCCCCACTGTCATCAGGCCTCAAAACACCCCCACTGACAAAAACTGATTTAGATGGAAAAGTAGCTCCAGATCCATCTTATCTAACCCTCTTTTTTGACAACTGAGGGTCAGAGAAGGGACAATGTACCAGGGTATCCTTGCTCTTCTCCCTTAATTTTTTTCAACAAGTTGGCATCAGCTGCCAGTGTTGTGACATGGCCGTGTTGACCAGACCCTGTAGTTGTTACCTTGGAAAGATCACATATCTAGGGCAGGCCAGCTGTGAGCATATGCAGCCTGTGATGCTCCTAAGAGAGCAGGAAGAGGAGAGGGTACAACATGGCAGGTCAACCAAAGGATTTCCACCAGAGAAACAGCCGGTTCTGAAAGCCACAAGCCTCAGTAGATTAACTCTGGAAGGCAGATCTGCTGTCTCCACCAGCTGCCAGACACGGATGGAATCCTACAGGACCAGGATGAGCCTATTGAAGGAGACCATGTGCAGCATGTGCTGCATGGTGCAAAGCTGTGGCCTATGCTGGATAAACTTCACTCCCTTTCATCCTTCGCATGATGTGTGTACACCCATGAGGACTTTGAGGAGCACAAGAAATCAAAGGGATGCATCCTCCTAGACTTTTAGACAACAAAGCTCTGAGCTAGAAAAAAAAAAATAGCATGGGGGACCAGTATGTGAGCTTTGCTGTTGTAACTGACCCAAAGTTGGAACCATCCAAAGATGGTGTCTTGAAACAAGATTGGCTTTTGTGAGCCTGAGTCCGATTTCTCAAGGAACATGATCCTAAGGCGCCCCCTGGTGTCCAACTTGTTCAGATTACTAGGAAGAAACCCAAATTCAGTTCACATGGATTTCCCTTCACCCCCTGGGCTGTTCCTCAGGCTGGTGAAATTCCTAAACTTGCATTGTCAGAAATGAATATGCTAAGGAATCATCAGAGAAGGACTTCCCACCATCTTAGGGTATTGGTGTGTCTGCAGAAATAAGAAAGTCGGGGAAAAGGAGCTGACTTGGGTAGAGTAGAAAGGTGACTTCTGGGCATAATGGGGTGAGGACCTGGTAATCTTCCCATTGTAACTGTCCAAAAATGTGAGAACTGCAACTAAAGTCAGATCCCAGTACAACCTGCTGTGACCCCAGGTGGTGAGCTCCTTGGTCATTCATGGCCAGGTCGTATCCTTTGTTTTTCCAGAGCTCAATAAACGTTCAACGAATGAATCGAGGAGAAGGTTTGGATTCCATCTGCACATGTGTGGATCTATAATGCACTTGGTTTCTAGTTGCAGACTTGTGAAAATGACTGAAAAAGGAAAATGAGAGCTCTGAACTGAAGTCAGAGGCTCCATGTACACATCTATGTTCATCCTCTTAGCAGCAGGGGGTGTGTTGGCGCACTGACTGCTCAGGGAGGTGTGTGGACAGAAGCAGCAGCAGCAGCAGCAGGGGGTCTTGTTAGAAAAAAACAGCCCTTACTCCAGCCCTGCTGAATCCTTCAATAGGTTAACAAGACCTCCAGGTGCGCAGGTGAAAATCTTAGAAGCCTGGTCACAGATTTAGTCTCTGTATTTGTAAAATGGAACAATGACATTCCCCTGACAGATGGTTGTGGTGAGGTTTAAATAAATGAGTATGTGTGACAGCATATTTATATGCCTAGCACATAAATAAGCATTTGGTCCTATGAATGAATGTTAAAATAACAACTGATACCGCTGGTTATCGGTGACCTGCTCCCTCTCGTTGAAGTTTGAACATTAGAGAAGCACGCCGAAGCAAGCATATAAGGCAGGGTTTACTTAAAAAGGGGTAACATAGACTTCTCCCGGGAGTGAGAAGGGGGCCCTAGCTGGTTCCTGGTATCCCGAGGAGAAGTGAGGTGTTCTGCCCTTTTATGCGTCTTAGGCTTCCTTTGTTCTCCTGCTCTCTTGCCCTTATCTTTCTCCTCCCTGTAACTAGGCCTAGGAAAGGTTGGTGGGGTGGCCCAGTGGTGGGAAACAGGTGGGCTGAACAGGGAAGGGCAGGCTGGAGCAGCCCAGGACATATTAATTAACAACTTTACAGCTTCCTGGAAGGAGAGGCAATTCCTGGGGCAGGTTGCCTTAGCAACTGGTTGGAGCAGGGGAGGGTTACCTTGATAGGGTGAAGGAAGGGCTCTGAAGGCCTTTCAATCTCTCGGGGGCGGGACAGTTTCCAACTTCCAGGACTCACTCAAAGTGGCCTCCTTGATCTGACTAGACTCGATTTATCTATCTATACTGTCTGTCTGTCTAATTCTGGCTTCACAGGGATAACATTTTATTAAGCACCTAGAGTTTACAGGGCACTGTTCTCAGCGCTTTATGTGTATTAATTCTTCAGATGAATGCGTGGATAAAGAGTAAGGCAAAGGACTACACCAAGGCTGGTGAGAGGGCACTGACCTCAATGTTTCATAGCATCTGTCTTCCATTTTGAAGACAGGGTTTGGATTGTTTTTGCTTTTGTTCCTACTTACCCCCCTAACAAAAGCTAGGCATCAAGTGCCCAATTAAATCACTTGCTGAATAAGTGATTAGAAATCACAATGGAATTCCTGAGCTAACTGAAGAGTCTGATTATGATTCCACAGACATGTGTCTGCTTCCCTGAGGTTCTTTGCAATGTTGCAGCTGGAGAACTGAATACTATTAAAAATCATCCTTTCTTTCAATAAGCTTTGTATAAACTACGTTTCTGGCATTAGGTTGAGTGTTAGGGATAGAGAAAAATTAGATGGGTTAACTGGCAGGCAGAGAGCAAATATTCTACACTAACTAAAGCTAAGAGTAGAGAATCAGGACCAAAGGGCCTCCCTCCTTCATCCAGTCTCTCTCCCGTCCACCAGTGGCTTGATGTCCATCCTCCCGGCCATACCATCAGTAGCTCTCCATTATCCACTGCTTTTCTGCCTTCATTCCTTCATGCAATACTTCCCTCAACCTAAAAAGCTTCCCCTGTCCACGAATGCACCTCAAATTCCACCTTTCCCAGCTGGAGCAGAATTCAGTCTCCTCTGAAGGCCAGCTCATGTTTTGGGACCTTTACTAGTGCTGCTTACCCATTATTTGGGTTCTTGTGTGGTGGCAGTAGGCAGTCCTGGGTCCAAATCCTGCTTCTGCTACCACCTGTGATCTTGGTCCATTTATTTACTCTTTCATTTGTAAAATACAGAAAGAGTATCAGCCCTGTGGGGTGGTTTTAAGCTTCCTATGAGACAATGTATTCAGAGTGCCTGGTGCATTACTAACACTCCATCCATGCCCAATCACCTGTCCTTTTGCCTCCCCTGCGGCATCATCGCACCACAGATGCTAAATAAGTATCTGTTCAGTTGAATCCATGGGCTCATGACAACCGGAACTATTTTAGGGAACTGATGCCACACACTAATGCTATATGATTCATGCAAACAGTCTGTTGGTTCACTACCGTCTGAGTGCTCATTTATCTTAAATGGGCTTTATGTTTTAAAATATTAATCTTCAGTGTCCTTGAGCTGACAGCCTACAGACAGATAAAACTGGCTGGAGAGACCTCACAGCTACCTGTAACGTCCCCAGGTCAGAAAGCACACGAGACCTATTCCAAACACCAAGAAAGCAACCAGGCTGAACTAAGCACACCTGGTCTTTAGAACTCACTCAGCAAGCATGGTATTAATCTTCCAGTAGCAAAAGGGACATGGGAAGCATGTGAACAAATAAGTCCCCAGTCTTCCTCCAAAATTTGTACCCTTAATAAACTATCTTAACTACATGGACGTTCCCACTCCAGGGTTTTGCTTATGATGGTCCTTAGGTACAAAATGCTCTATTCTGCATCCTCTCTCCCCTTTCATTCCTGGTCCCAATGCCACCTCCTATAAGAGCCTTACTCGATGTCCTGATGGCTGTGTTCACAATCACCTTCTCAGCCTTCCATTAGGGCATGTGTTCTCTCCGGTCACAGTCACTTGTTCCTTTTGCCCCCTGGACTGGAAGCTTTTTGAGGACAGGCCCATGTCTGTGTCACTACCCAGAAATATTAGCTATATATAGCAGAGGGTCATCAATGTTGGATGGATTCCTGAATGTTTAGATGGGTGATTAAATTGAACTAAATCTGAGTAACCAAGTCCTTCTATAGAAAGGTTTTTAGCAAAGAAAAGAAAAAAGCTAAAACTTTGTTTTTAAACTAGAATTTATTGGTATACAAAACTCCATTTCATAGATAAGTGGCACATCTTTGCAGCTTCTATTGCACCAAGTAGTAAAGATTAAAAACAAAAAAGGAAACATTTGGTTTTGAAAACACTGCAAATAGCCAAGTACAGTACTTTGGTAAATAAAAAATAAAATGGTTCAGATGAACACAATCTGTGAAAAGAAAAGGCCTAGGGGAAATGAACTATGGACATCGATAGTGGTCACATTTCTCACCCCCGAGCTCCAGAGATAAGGCAGACTTGCTAAGTCTATGGATTATGACCCCATGGAGGTCTTAAGTATCTCCAGACCGAAGCTAGAACAAGTATAGTGCAATTAGGAAAAAGAGAAGGCCCATCCCCACAGACTCCTTGCCCTCAGTCCTAGGGGTCTGATGCACTCTAGCACTCTGACACCAGGAAGGGGAACATGTGGGTGCTGAGTCTAGCTCCTGGCTCTCTTCCCCCTTTCTCTGAGCTTAGTGCTAGTGAAAGATGCTGGAATGGTAGCCACCATGGAAAACAAGCCCCAAGAATGGAAAGACACCAGTATGGCTCAAGTTTCAGTCGAAAGACTTGCCAGGGAATCAAACCACGAACAAAGGTCTGTGACTACGCGCCAATGATTGTCATGGACGGCTGGCAACAGGGACCTGCTAGATAACATGCAAAGGATCAGAGCCAGACCCCAAGGGTTTCCTCCCATGATCAGGACCTGCTGTGACAACCGGCACAGCGAGCAGAAGCACTGTGGATCACAGGTGTGCTCATGGAAATCATGCTGCACATTGGCACCAGCCCCTCCCTGGGTAACTCTGAGAAGATATTCAACACTTCACTTGAGCTACAAAGTAGTCATAATGAGGAGGGTTAAACAGAGATTCTAGAAAAAATCACTTGGAAGAAATCATTAAGAGCCTGAGGTTTTGAGAGCATGTTTTACCTGGGACAGAAGAGGGTCAGGCCATCCACAAGGCACAGCTCTTTCCTGTGGTCCAGCCTCCGTGGACAGCAAGTCGCACACTGTCCACACACCGGGCCACAGAGGTTTAGTATCATCTCCACTTGTGAGAAATGATCAGTTTGACTTTTTCTAACATGTAGTGGCAGATTTATTAAAACTTAAGTGCACGCATCTAGATTTTCAATTCAAGGATGTCAGTGGGAAAACAAAATTTGCTTCACAGTTAGGGAAACACATCTTTGTAAAAAGTGCCATTATTACGTCAGCTCTGAACAACTGCCAGAAAGCTGTTTCAGCACACCCGACGTGCAAACGGAGATGAGCAAAACCGTGAGTAATGACAATGGCAGGAGTGCTGCATCTGACCCTGCATCTACAGGTGCGATACAGACTTGAGGTAAAGAGGTGAAGAGCTATGTGTCTACGTGACATGGGAGTCAGGGAGGGCACGGAGGTGACACACTCAATCAAGAAGCTCCACTCTCTTCCTGCCACAAAGAGCCTTCTCTCCAGTCAGGGTGACTTTTAATCAGTTCTGACTAGGGATTCAAGTTTCCTCCCATCAACTGAATATTTGGGTTGAACATTTCACAGAGGTAAACTCAAGGGTGTTCCATGTTGACCCAGTAAAACCCGGGCACACTCTAAAGAGTTTCTCACAATGCAAGAATCTGCACATTGACTACAGGGACTCACTACAAGTGTGATGACTACAGGGACTCACTACAAGTGTGATCCACTACCAAAGTCCATCTGAAATGACCACATGACATGTGAACAACTCACTCTCTCCCCACCTTTACATGGCCCTCCTCCCCAGCCCGCCATCATAGGTCACATTGACAAGCTCCCCAGGGAAGCTGAGCAGGGCACTGTCTATGACCTACATGAAGGTTCACTCTGAGCCCAGCTCCAACTGCCCATTAAGGGAGACACACATTGCACAGTCCTCTCCATCAAAATGAAATTGGAAATGTCTTCAGAGCTTATTTAAAAAACAAACAAACAAACTATAAATGACTTCAACTAACATTTAAGTTTCTTCTTTCTGCCACAATTCCTCAACCATGCTTTACTCCTGAAGGTGTATATTCTTATTATTGAAAAATTAAATATACATATACATTCTATCTTTCTAATGTCTCTCAGTAACAATTATTTTATTTATAAGTTGTGGTCTATGTTGTTTTAATACATCTAACTCCCTAGCTAAAAGCTGTTGTAATAAATTTTTTTTCTTATTTTGATGTTTAAAAAAAAATCCATAAAACCTTTATATACAGTCTATAAGGCCAGAAAGCAGCTATGAAATGCTGCTCTACCCTCTTCTCCTGGTCCTCCACAGGCTACTGAGACCTAACCTTGTGTAGTATAATCTTTACCAGCTGAGTTGCACCCCAGAGGTTGAGACACATTCAGTCCCCAGTACTGAGTTCCATAACTGTGCTGGGTTGACCAGCACAGTTGCTGTCATTAGTTGGATTGCTGACAATCATCACCTCAAGACTGAACGTATGGCCTCCATTTTGGCTGCCAATGAAGTAACGATGGAGTGCCCAACAAGGCAACTAAGCCTGAGGATTCTATCCACTTCCCACTCCAAGGAGACCAATGCAGTGGTCTAAATTCCAACCTTTAGCTAGAAGATACCTTTGAAGCTGGGTGCCATACCCCCATTTCCAATAATTAACACACTAAGCACAGACCAATTATAACTGAAAAGCTGTACAATGGTAACAAAAGAAAATTACTTTTTAAAATTAAAGTCATTTGATTAGTTTTTAAAACCACTGCTATTGTGCCCCAAAATTGCTGAAGCCTATTATCAGAATTAGGTAATTTATAAACAAATAATCCTAATATTCTTTAATAAAACATTCAGCAGCCTCTAAAACTCTGTAGGGCCCAAAGCCACCTTCATTAACCAAGTCAATGAAGCAATCCAACTAATCACAACAACGGTCACCCACAGGTATTTTTCTACTTTAATTCTGAGCTTCTGATAAAGCTGATCCTTTTGAGAGGATCTGGTCTCTGCACTCACACAGTACAGAGCAGATAGGAAAGAATGTTCTTTCAGAAAAGCTCAGCCAGCCAGGAATCTGCCCAGAGGTGAAAGCCAAGAGAGCCATTTGTCCTCAAACACCAGATCCCACCCCCTAAGAAAAGGCAACAGAGAGCCTTCCCAGTTGGAACTGAGTGCCGAGTACTCGGGAGTCTTAAACTCAGGACTGTGATGAGCAAAGAAAAGGTGCTGTACAGTCTTTAAATCTGCACAATATTGCAATATACTGTACCCAGGAAGAAGCCCAAACCACAATGTCCTGGGAGCAACTCCAAGAGACTTCCAATGATATTGTAGGTATTCCAACTACAAAAAAGTCCCCAAATCAAACAAACAAAAATTAAAAGGCATCAATGAAACTAAGAAAGCAAAAAGCCTACTGACAGGGACAATTCCACAGGGCCAGGGTCCACTCTGATAGTGACAGTTCTCACACTTTAAAACTACTTACGGTTTCCACTCTGCCTCTAGGTTCTCATAATTTTGAGATCTGAGGGTTGCAGGGACAACAAAGAATTGACTTTTTGACTCAGCATATATTATTTGTCCAAGTACTAGGCTCCCAGAAGGCAAAGACTCCCACCTGCCTCACACATGACCATTTTAGACTTCTCATCCACCTAGCCCAGTTCTGGGAATGGGATCTGTCCCCTGATGGAGTGTTTCAGAACTGTGAGTCACTTGAAGGCCTGAGCCCAGAGAAGCACTCCACCTTGCTGGTTTACCCTACAGGCACAACTAATGCTGCCCCATTCAAATCCCACACTGGGCTTAAGTAACAAAAAATAAATGCCATATTTTATGGAATTTCATTGCCACAATACTAAGAAAATTTTGCAACCTATAAGGTCAAGTTATCATTTTTTTCTCTAAAGGCATCATTCTAAGTCTATAATACTAGGGAAAAAATAGTTGTTCAAACAGTGAACACAAAAAAACCTTAGATATTCATCCAAACTTCTGCTATAGAAGCAAATCATTCTTTAGATTCTTCCTAGACAGAAACCTAGGAGTTTCCTGACTGTTCTACAACTATGGCATCTGCTCTACGACTATGGATGATCTGAACTGCAGAACTCTCTCACAGCAGTAACACACCATCTTCCCAACTGTTAAAAAAACAAACACCAAGACTCAACAACACGACTGATCTCCCAGGAAAGCTGAGGCCTCACTCTCCACCAAGCAGGTGCCCACACTATGGCTGACCACAAATGGGCCCATAGCACCTGCCACCTGCAATGACGTCAGTCAGGAAGGAGAGGTGAGCTGTGCAGTCCCCACCCTGACTCTGTAGGCCACCTCCTCGTATCACATTACTCTGGGAAAACACTTCCTGAATTGTTGAGTAAATCAGATAGGGAAAAAATTCAATCTAAATATGTTCCTGAGTTGGAGATCATTTATAAACCACTCTACATGTTGATATCTGTTTGAAAATGAAAGAGAAACTAAGGAAATCTGTTATTCTGAATTTCTAACAGTTAAACTACTTCATGAACAATCACAGCAAAACTTACCCTAAGTAATAAAGGAAGATCCCAGGGTCACTGAACTCTTTTTTTCAGGGCATATAAAGCCACAAAGGTTTTTCTGACCTAACTATCCACTCTTAAAACTCAGTATTTTAAGTGTGTATTACAGAATATGAATGGCTTCACTGCACCTTTATAAAACAAAACACAGCACTGACAGAACTTTGAACAAAAGAGGCAGCTTGAAGGAAACTAATTCAGCGTGTGACCAAACAGGCTTTGTTGGTTGCCTCCCTGGAAGGCCTGTGTGCGGCGCTCCATGGTCCTTCTGCTTCCTACAGCTCCCAGGAGGCAGAGTCAGATGTTCAGAGCAGCGAAGGTCTTCACCAAAGTGACCTGTGTGTTCACATCTGCTTCACTCCTGTTGTTGTCCCTGTGGCCACTCCTGTTCTGCAGGGCTTTGTGACGATGCCTCTCCTCCTGTCGCTTCTTCTTCTCCAGCCGTTGCTGTTCCCTGCGTTGTTTGTTTGTGACCTGAAAGAGAAGGCCACTGACGCACAGCTGACTCAAGTTGCCACCTGCTGCAAGAGATGCTGGCTCACAAATGTCCAAGGCTCTGACTACTTCAGCAAGGAGAGAGGACACCACCCGCATGCCAGATTAGCTCATTTTCCATTATGTTAAAATGTATATCCCCCCACTGAACTAGCAAACAAAATCAACTCCTTCCTCCTCATAAACCAATTCCAGATGACCTAAAGAGACATTACCCCTATCCAGCAACAGACAATAATCAAGGGGCCAGACGAAACCTTTCTCCATAATTTAAGACCCAGATCACTGTAATGAAATCCTCAGAAGCTTATGGCCGCTCTGCCTCTGCCTTTTCACATTAGGTGGCATTTTGAGCTCAGAACTTCATAGTAAGTTTTTAAAATGAATCCCAATTTCAGCATAATGAACACTGTAACATCTACTTGTAGGGGTGGGGAGGGAGATGTACACCCTTTCTGGGAAGCACCTGACAATTTACTAAAAGCCTTCAAAAGATTCCAATATACATGCCCTTAAACCTGCTAACTCATCTCCTAACTCTATGCAAGAAAATAGTATGCAACACAAACACACAACACTGTTCACTGCAGATGTGAAAAGTGTGGAATAAGGTGGAGGGAGCCCACGTGTGCGATGATGCTGCATGGGCAAAGGCAACTACCCATTTGCACAGGACAGCTCAGCACATATGTCCTAATCGTCACAGCATACACCAAACAAGACAAGGCCTTCATTCTGCTTCTAGACATATCTTTATGTATCCCCCAGATTTCCACAATAACTGTTTTATAAATTAAGAGAAAAATACATACTAAAATGAAATGCAAGTTCCCACCACTGCTACAAATTTTCAGCAGCCCACCATCTGCCCTTCTGACTACCTCCCTCATACCTTTGGGAGCTGGTTCTTGTTTGCTTTGTTTTCTTCACTAGGGCTGGTCCGGGCTTTGTTGTTTTCAGTCCTATCTTCATTTAAACCCTGATTTCCAAAGATTCTGGCACCACTGCCACCCTCCTCCCATAAAGGGCCACACTGCTTCGGCGCTTGGTCACCAGGCTCAAGGCTCTCCTCTGCATCTTCCAAAAAAAAAAGGTATTAATTAAACTGAGAACCTTACAGAGTTACATAATGCAAATGCTATGGTAAAGGATTCCAACATCACCGGAGTCCCCAGATAATTGTTATTTAGGAAGCAAGTTTCTTTGAAACAAAACTCTAATACCAAGTCAACAGAGTGGGAAAAAAGGGGACAAAATGATGGGTAAATTAGATTTTAAAATAACATGCTAGTCCTAAGGCTTATGGTTAGCTTCCCACAGCACAGTGCTTTGTTTCCTTGGATAAAATGTTTAACATGAATTTTTAGGGAGAAATCATTCATTTGTACTCAAAATTCAGAAGGAGAAAAAAAAAAAACAGGATCTAAAGCTGTGTTGTCCAATACAGCAGTCACCAGCCACATGTGGCTATTAAAATTGAAAATCAATTAAATTAAATACCACTTCAAATGCATCTCCCAACCTCACTCTCCACATGTCAAGAACACATCACACTGAATGAGGCTTTCAACTACAAAGATCAAGTTACTCACAGCTTCTGAAGAAGCACAGCAAACATATCAAGTGGATACTTAAATACTCAGACACATGAAGAACTATAATGCCAGGCACAGGAAGTACCTGGCATTGATAACTGTCAAAAGAGTATTTATTGGGGCTGGGGATGTGGCTCAAGCGGTTGCATGCTTGCCTGGCATGCATGGGGCGCTGGGTTCGATCCTCAGCACCATATAAAAATAAAATAAAGATGTTGTGTACACCGAAAACTAAAAAATAAATATTAAAAAAAATTCTCTCTTAAAAAAAAAAGAGTATTTATTGATACCATTTTAATAACACAAGAAATTATTAAGATTTTACATCTTCTTTCCCGAGTCACAAGATTAAATCCAGTTCAAATTTTTAAAACAATTTTGAATTATCACCGTTAAAAATGTTAGTTCTCTTAATATTTCCATTACAAAAATAAAATATTTCTCTCTTCTTCAGTTACCATTTCAGTTTGATAAGATCTTATTTTCAGAAGGACACTCTGCCACCCTCAAGACCAGGTTAGGCGGATTTCCTGTGCATTCTCCCAGCATCCTGCACTGCACCCCACTATGTACTATTAGCCAAACTACCTGCCTCTCTACCACCCTCTCTCTACCTCTAAACATTTCCTGATGCAGGGTCAGGACCCAGTAAAAAATGCCCGCATATAGAAGGCACTCAGTAAATACCTGCTGAATGAATAAATGACAGGACAAGTACCATCTGTGAACTGATTAAAAATGAGTATTTGGAAAATCACCAACACAATCACTTTGAAGGCTTATAAATATCATTTGTGGACTTACTGTTTCTTTTTCCCTGGTTCATCTGAAGCATGGCAATTATTGCAGATTCAATATTATAATTTTCAGCTTCCAGGTTCTGGACTATTAAGTCAAAATCCTAGCCAAGAAACAAAGAAACACTTCAAGACTGGATCTACTTTTCTACTTAGCTCTACTTCAATAATTTGATAAACACAAAGATGTAACAGTGAGAACGGACAAAAGGTCTCAAGAATTTTCCATTTACAATTCCCAAATAAGGTTGGTCACTTGAAATAATGCATTTTATTATTACAAATGAATTCCCTTTATAAAACTGCACTTTTAATAGTACAAACACCAGTCAGAAAAAATTAAACCCACTCATTAAGATTTTGAGTAGTGCCGGGTACAGTTGCACACACCTGTAATCCCAGCAGCTCAGGAGGCTAAGGCAGGAGGATCACGAATTCAAAGCCAGCCTCCGCAATGGTGAGGCGCTAACAACTCAGTGAGACCCTGTCTCTAAGTAAAATATAAAACAGGGCTAAGGGTGTGGCTCAGTGGTTGAGTGCCCCTGAATTCAATCCCCAATACCCCCAAAAAAGATTCTGAGTAGTACTAGGTCAAGTCTGGCAAACAAGAGGGAAATAAATAAACAGCTCTCATTAGGTCAGACCACCAATCTCCTGGACTGTCTGGCCCTCATGCTGGCATGCTCGAGTGATGTCACAGACCAGCAGATACACTAGGCACACTGTTTAGAAAGCCCTACTGCATGACAGGAATACTAACTGAACATCCAGTTGCATTGCAAACTTTCTGGACGGCATCTTCTACTTCATCTCTCAGGTCGTCCTCAAAGTCAACTCCCTTTGTCTTGGTCTTTTCTCTTTTATTCGGCTCATCTTCATGAAGCATCTGAAACTAAAGAAAGCACAAAGCATAAACTCTTGCAAATCTCGTTCAGAATCTCCAACACAGAAAGATACTCTAATCTCAAGACATTCAAACATAGGGGAAAAAACTCTGGAAACAACTTTAAGAGAACAATAAGTATACTAAATTCTATCCACACACCGAGATTCCAGGCCACCACAGTGAACAAAAGAAAGGCCCAAGAGACAAGAACCACTCAGCAGAGACAACATCAGAACTTCTACAGTTTCTAGATGCTGATGTTTGGCCACTTCTGCTGACCACAACAGCATATTTGCCTCCACTCATTTCCAGAGCTGTGAACTGAACCTCGGGACACAGTCTTCTACACAGACACATGCTAGTCTTGAAGAAATATACACACAACCCTCATCTGGTTCCCAGGTCCTCTCTGATCATCAGTGAGCTCTGGGGTACACAGCAGAGCATGACTCCTCACCTCCAGTATATACCATGACATTCAGGGAACCTGCCAACTGGAATTCTAAATCAACAAAGAGTAATTCACTTAAGAGTTCAAGAGGCCTTTGTGACCAGATCCTAAATCAGAAAAGCTATAATCATCCCTGTGAGGACTCCAGCAACTTCTCCTTCTGCTTCCATTAATACAGGAATGGAAATGGACAAAGGTGTTTCTATGTTTTGCATGTAAAAGTTGAAGTGGAGTCCAGCAATGGACAGTATATTCCTTAGAATGTTATTACAAAACAATCTATTATAAAATTATACATTAACAGTCTGACACTGAGTATCAAGAGTCTTGGAACCAGTAGTTTCACAACTTTGTAATTTAGCCAAAGGAAATGTCAAATACAGGATTTACATAAAAGTACTCATAACAACATTACTTATAGTGGTGAATAACCAGAAGCAAGGTAAAGGTATAGGTACAATTAACCACTAGAAATCCATAGAATGCTATCTTCATTCCCAAATTAAGGAACACAATCATGATTTCACTACCACCATTATTATTTAACATTTTAGCAATAAGAGCCAATGCAATTAGCCAAGACAAACAAAAGTATAAAATGAGGAAAAAGAAATCACTCTTTGTAGATAATTCTGTACCTAGGAAAAAAATAAGAGAATTAACAAAAGACAAACTTCAACAGAATATCCTAGTACAAACAAAAAGAATTCTAATTCTGGCAAATCATATATTAGATGAGAATCTAAGTCTCCAGAATATATAAGAATATATAAAGAATTCTTAAAAAAAGACAGCCCAATTAAAAATAGGCAAAGGACTTGAGCAGACATTTTTCCAAAGATTCAAACTACCAAAAGCATATGAAAAAACATCCAACATAATTAGTCATTATGAGAATGCAAATCAAAACCACCAGAAACTAGGGTGGCTATTTTCCATTAAGAAAAGGAAAAGAGGGGCTGGGGTTGTGGCTCAGCAGTAGAGCACTCGCCTAGCACGTGTGAGGCTCTGGGTTCGATCCTCAGCACCACATAAAAATAAAGAAAGAAAAAGAAAAGGAAGGAGGAAGAAAGATAATAAAAATTCGAATGTGGAAAAAGTAGAGCCTTCATATATTGCTGGTGATTATATAAAACAGTACCACCCACTGTGGAAAACAGTTTGGCAACTTTTTTCCTCAAAAGTTAAATTCAGAATTCACCATATAACCCAGTAATTCCACTCCAGTACACCCCAAAAGATTGAAAGCAGGTACTCAAACAAATATATTCAGAAATATTCATAGTAGTACTATTTTCAGTAGCCAGAAGGTGAAAAAGACGGGCTTTGTTGATGGGCAATCAAATGTCCATCTTTGGATGAATGGATAAACAAAATGTGATACATCTATATAATGGAATATTATAAGGCCATTTTAAAAAATATTGACAAATGCTACAACACAGATGAGTCCAGAAAGCATTATGCTAGACAAAAAAAGTCAGACAGGAAGGCCAAAGATGGACGGATTCCATTTGTACTAAATGTCCAGAATAGTTTTGAGACAAGGCAGGCAGGCGGTTGGCTGGATGAAAGGGGAAACAGAGAATGACTACTTCATGCGTACGAGGTTTTCTTTGGGGGTGATAAATGTTTTGGAACTAGACTGAGGAAGTGCTTCTGTACCATTCTGGTAGTTTAAAATGGTTCTACAGACTATCTGGGTATATAATTAGCATTTTGTTATTATAAATGATAACCATCAAGGAAATATGAAGAGAAAAAAAGACCTTTTCCTTACAATAGAAACACAAAAACAGAATAGCTCAGAATAGGAGACTTTCTGATCCCACAAGTTGCCTCTAGGGAAGGGAACAGGATGGGTAAAGCAGAAGGGTGACAGAAGAACTTTCAATATATATCCTATTATATTTTGAATTCTGACCCATGGACAAATATGAACAACTCAAGAAACAAAATTGTTTTAAAAATGATGGCTTCAGAATGTAGGTAACAATATGAGAAAAGGCTTCTGTGATAATGTGTTAATTGAAAAAAGCAGGAACCAAAGTTATATAAATAATAAATCTCAAGCCATCTGTGATACATTAAATGACCAAAAGGAAATCTACCAGAACAGTAACAAAATTCGCAGCCGGTGGCTGATTTGTGTCTATTTTTTCCTTACCTTTTCTATAGTTTCCAATTTTCAGTAAACAGTCATGGATCAATTTTTAAAATACAAAAGTGTTTTTTTAATTTCATAGATTTCATATATAAATGAATCATAACTATCAGCTGATGGGGAAACAAAAGGCTAACAAGCAGTTTTATCTCTCTCCCTAACCCAACCTAAAAAGGAAGAAACATTCTAAGAACCAAAGATCCTTAACACCAACTTTCCACTAAAAAAAAAAAAAAAAAAAAAATCCCTGGTTTCAGCTCCAGGGCAGGTGGCTCTGGACCTGCTTCCTGTAGGGCTGAGACCACAAAGGAAATGGGGCTCACTCACATCAGTCTGGAGATGTGCTGGTGCCTCCGAGTTGTCATTGATCCTCCGAACGCTGTCATAGTGTTCTCCATACCGATAGGCAATGTGCAACTCCCGCACACTGCTTTTGTCTGTACCCCGAATCTGCAGACAAAACAAGGAGCGATGAAAGAGAGGGTCTGGACCGTTCACTCTGGAGACCTACCAGATGCTAACTGGAAATGTGATGGAGTATGTCATTACTGATTTCTGAATTATCCTCCTCCCACTCTTATATGCTTTGATGTGCTTAGTTAATATGTAATGATGTGGGAATAAATCCATAAGAAAACACCTCCAAATACCAAGGGCAGGTTATAGATAAGCTGAAGTTTCAGGGGCTTTGGACCTCAGAACCCCTCAAATGCACAGACCCTTCCAACAGAGAAGATGGGGGTTGATCTAGATTTGTTGAGCTTAAAGCTCAAACAATTTGAGAGGCATCTTTGAGAAACGGAATGCAAAATTCCAATTTTAAAACTGCTAGAACTTTGAGAGGGAGCCATATAAATGGAACCTAACACACTTCATTAGCTTCACCTGTCCTTAAAAGAAAACCTGCATTTTCCATCACCCACAGACATATTATCAGCAACAAACTTGAAATCTTCTGCTTACACCAATTTAAAAACAAAATAATATTTAGTAAAGTAATGTACCACACTGCACAACCCTGGAAGCAGCATTCACAAGGTACTCTGAACAAATGGCAACCCAGTACTACACAAGAAGAACAGGGCTCCCTAAAAGCATACAACAGAGAAGCACTGAGTCTGGTTTGGGCAGATTCCAAAATAAAAACTATTTCCACAGAAACTCTAAAGCAACCCTGACTCTATCCCTTAGGACAGAGTACCTGTCCAAGGAACTCTTTTTGTTAAAACTCCAAACATCAATACCTTCTTCTTTTTGTTACTCCAAGTCACAAGTAGTTCAGATACTACCAAATTATAACAGCATCTGTGGTCCAAAAACAGGAAAAAAAAAAAAAAATGGAACAAAGAGGAACCACACAGGTCCATATGCTGGGACTGTGGAGGTTTTCTCTAGTGGAAGACCTGGGTCTCAAAGGGCAGAGGGTCTACTATATACACAGAAAATGGTAACAGCTCATTTGTCTCCCAGGAAAAGTACTAGGAAAGGGAACATTTCATTCGAATTTTTGAATGACGCAACTCTCTACAGCCCTTAGATACATAACAATATACACATACTACAAATGTAAAAAAAAAAAAAAAACCCACCACTTGTGTAGTCACCAAGTTTGAACCATAGTTTTCATGGATGGATTACAAAGGACTTTCACACTCCATGCCACACATCCACAGCACAAACTCCATTTCTAAGCAGAAAAGCATACAGGTGTCAGTATCTCCATGCTTTGAGTGTGAGCTGACTCATCATTAATGCAAGAGGTCTTGCCCAGACAGGAGCAACTAACGATTTCAATTCTTAAAAGTTTCATAAGAAGCTTGACTGGAGAGAAGGGACATGGAGAAAATCCAATGGAAATAACACTAATCTATTTTTTTAAATGTATACTTTCATTGTTCAGCAATTCATGAAAGAGAACACTACAGAAATAAGTGTGAAAAAAAATCTAATTATACAGTAGACTGGAGTTGTGGCTCAGAGGGACAGCGCCTGTCCAGCATGTACAAGGCATTGGATTAGATCCTCAGCACCACATAAAAATAAAATAAAGGCATTGTGTCCACCTATAACCTAAATATAAATATTTTTTAAAAATCTAACGATATTGAATTATCTTCTATACTATCTAGGTAATCAAGAAACTTTAAAAAAAGTTATCAAAGCAGGAAAAAATAGGTTATGGTTACTCAGTTGGCACCAAGTATTTTCCTTCAAACTTAGGCTCCAAATGACTTTGATGACTTCTGCTAAACAGTATTAAGTGTAATGATAAAATCTGGAAAAGCAGTAACCAATGTCCTTGACTCACACATCATCCTTAGAAAGAAAGCACCCCACTGAAAAGGTGATCACTCCACCTGGAGTCAATACCTCCAGCAACACGGCCCCAAAGAACATACAGCTACTGTCCCACTCCTGCTCATTAGATCCTTATAAGGTGAAATTCCATGCTAACCCTGGGAGCTGTAGCAGAATTTTGTTAGAGGATGCTGTGCTGTACACAAAAAGCTGAATACTTTCATTTATATGGCACTCTGGAAAAACAAAACTGTGAAATTCAGACAAATCACACGGCGGTTACAAGAGGCTGGGCACTGGGTGCAGGTGTCAGTGACTGGAAAGAGCAAGTGGCACCTTGTGGCAGTGGAACTATTTCACAAGTCAATGGAGAAGGCTGAACGACTTGTCAGAACACAGAATTGTTACCTAAAAAGGGCGGATTTTGCTACATGTAAATCATCTCTCTATAAACCTGACCTTTTTTCCCCTTAAGCAGTACAGGCTATGATTAAGCAATTTACAAGGGAATATACACAGATGCCATATGAAGAAAAGGGTGCTGTAACCTTTATTATGATAATAACCAACAGGGAAACGTAGGCCTGTGTGTGTATATGTACATATATATGTATATACATACACACACAAATTTGTATTGCATGCAGATGTATTTTAAATGGGTTGTAAAAACGCCCTGCTATATACCTTCCAATTACATAGGAATGTTTGTTTACAGCTTCGTAGGTGTGTGACACTGGTTACTGCTTTTCCAAATTTTGTCATTACACTTAATGCTGTTTAGCAGAAGTCATCAAAGTCGTTTATATTAAAATGTTAACAGCGATCATCTCTAGGCAGTGTGACTCTGGGTGAGTTTTATTTATCTTTATGGACTTTTTTGAACTCTCAAAGTTTCCTACAATTAACATGTTTTAATTTTCTAATTAAGAAAAAGTTAGGGGTTGGGGATATACCTCAGTTGGTGGAGTGCTTGCCTTGCTTGCACAAAGCCCTGGGTTCGATCCCCAGCACCAAAAACACGAGAAAAAGTTAGAAATAAGAAAGTAGTAGGAAAGAGAGAAACACAGAAATCACAGGAGCAGTCTTCAGGGCCTGAGCTACAAAGTGACAAGAAGCACTCTGAATCTGAGAAGAATAAGAAGAGGGCAGGAGCTGTATACACCCGCAGCCCAAACTTTGATCTTCCATACTCAAGAATGTTTGGTTTGATGGACTATTTGGGAGATGAGGTTAATTTAAGATAGAAAAGGTAAATAAAGGTGAACACCACTTCACAACAGGGGTGGAGGAAAGGAAACACTAGTGGCTTAACAACATGTCTTCCCTACCACAGCACACACTTGGCATGTGTTCTAAAACTATTGTAGAAGAACCACTGAAACCGCTGTGTACAGCTGAGCAGAACAGAAATCGACCTGACATCCTAGACTCTGGTAAGTTCTGCTGAACAAAATACATTGCTAGCAATGGCTATTATGATGAATATTATCTTGTTTCCCTCTACCTTCAAAGCACAGATACAAATATGGGAGTGGGCAACTTCAAAACCAGAATCTGTAAGCATTAATCCTTTAAATTCTCACTTTGATATTTTTAAGTATTTCCACATTAAGTTCTCTGTCCCCAAGTTACCCAATTAACTGACTGCCAAATAACGTTTATAGCATTTTAAAAGATTTCCGAATTGTACTCCAGACTCTATTTGTCCACAGCACAGGGATCAATTCCAATTACCACAAAACTCTTTGTCTTTGATTAGGCTAATTGTCCAAGTTTTTCTGCATATTCAATGTCACAAGTCAAGCCCCATCTGTTAGAATATCCCCAAAGCTAATTATGTAGATATATTCTTGAACATGTGACCTACCTGCCACAGGGGGGCATTTAGTTGATGAATCACCACATTCAACTGATGATTTCTTGCAAAGGCTACAATTGCATCATTGCCAGCAAAAGTACCAGGCTTTGCCAAACTGGCCACTACATGGAAATAAGAAAGAAAAAGGCAATCTTTATAAAGAAGATATCCAAATGCAAACAAGCTTTGATATTTATTCAGTTCCAAAGAATAAGAAACAAGAGCCCACATCTGCATAGACCATCAGCTTCATCACAGTCTATGAATTCAGCTGGGTGAACAACATGCAGACTAAGGAGCACTAACCATTCAGTAAAAAGGATCCATTCATTTATTCCTTCAATGAACATAAACTGAGTACTTCCAGTAAACACAACATCAACACAGTGATCACAACAGCTTACACTAAGGAATGTTTATTAAGTAGGTGTCAAGCACTGCTCTAATTGTTTCTCACAGATTACCAATTTCAGTCCTTAAGCCTCTGGAAGAAGTATTACTATTATGCATGCCACTCAAGAGATGAGGAAACTGAGACATAGTTTAGTAACTGTTCAAGGTCACAGAGTCTGTACAGGGCAAGCTGGATTTCATAAAGGCAGCATGACACTAAGCCACTCTTGGCTACTCCACCTTTGCTCTCAAAGAGTTCACACCTAATGGGAGCAAACAACCAGAAGACACGCACTACTGATGCCTAAGTGCTTCAGAAAAGGGACGTGTAGTGAAGAATATGCCCTTGCCCAAAGAGGGGTCTGTCCTTTATTCCAGGCTCCTACAAGACAACCTCTAAACTTCAGAAGCATCTCTGTTATCTACAGTGGCCCCTAGACCATACCTCCATATCCACCACATGACCTTCCTGAAGATATTCAAAGGGAAATTTCACATCACAAACTAAAAACTCTTTTCATACAAAATGATATTTTAATAGGAAAAATGACACAACTTTTTATACAGCACAAAACCACAAAATGTGCCCCATTTACATATATTTAACTTGTAAATTGCTGATTCTCTGATAAACTGTGTCTATCAGCTAGACAAAAAATCATCCCAGAGGGGCGGTCAGAATTTAGAGACTGGCATAAACCACCCACTGGTAGTTTCATACTATATATCTGGTTCTAATAAATAGATTCTTTCCCAGTGAGGAAAGGTTAAGGTCACTGATAGCTTCTACCCAAATGTCCTCTTCCTACTGCCCTATTTCTTGCTAACAGCACAGCCACCAAGCTGTACTAAAGCAGAAACTTCAGAATCACCTTTGTCTCCTCCTTCTCCCCTCTTCATTTCCAGTGAGTCCTGTCAATTATACACAAGCTGGGTCTTAGACTGGGTCCTTCTACTCCTTATTCATAGACCCTCCTCTTCCCTCATCCAGTCAATGTGGAGAGCCTACCTCGCTTCCCCTCTGGGCCTCCCTCCTACCCATTCTGTGTGGCCTCTGGGACCCATGATCAACACACAGGAGTGATTCTCTTTCCTGATAAGAGACAGATGTGAGCCCTGGGATGAAAGTGCTGCGCATAAAACATAAAGGTATCAGCACTTGGCACAGCAGAGCCTCAGTGAATCTTTGTTGAAATTAAAGTCTAAAGGTTCATTTTAATTTCTTAAATAGATCTGAACCAAAAAGAAATTAATTAAAGTCATTAACTGACCTGCCTCAAAGAAAATAGGTTATGTTTGAGTGTGAGAAATTAACATGACTTTATTAATTTTTCTGATTACAAAAGTAATGAGAATCTTTAATAACCAAAAAAATGTAGAAGATAATCCTGTCATCTCCAGGCAACTAATTTACTAAGCACTTATGTTAATCTTGTTATCTAATCTAATCTTTACAAAAAGGCCTAGAGATAGGTATTTTGTTGTTTTTATAGAAATGTAAAGAGAATGAGTTCTGAAAAATAAGCACAGCCAAGAAATAACAACCATACAATATCAATGTCTTCCCAGACTTCCTCTGCTGTGTGTGTTCACCTTTTAAAAGGGAACCAGCCTACACACTGTTGTCTAGCCAGTTCTTCCCATTCCACTGACAAAAAAAAAAAAAAAAATCAAGAATTTAATAGTACTTTTGTTTGTTTCTTCTTTGGTGGTGCTGGGGATCAAACCCAGGGCTTCATGCATGCTAGGCAAGCACTCTAATACTGACTACACTTTTAGCCTCAATTCCACCATTTTTATTAAGGGCACATACATCTAAATCTATGGATCTCCAATTACCCAGCACACTGTCTGTTACACAGCATGCAAATAAGTAATTGATGAATAAACAAATGCCATAATTGATAGTAGCCAAACCTCTTGGTGGGGAGGGTGGGGGATGCGAATGCACTCAAAGCATCCCTGACTCCTGGGGGATCCAGTCCCACAATTGAACCTACCATGCTTCTCGAAAGGAATGTCATCTTCCACAAAGGGTTCAAAATCTTCCCGCTGCTTTATCATATAGTCCACAGTTTCCTGTCGGTGCTTGAGATGATTTCGTGAGTGTCCCTCCAACTGATCACCAAGGGCTCTGAACAGGCAATTGCTGTCAAAATAAAAATGATGGTCAAGACCTTACAAAAATAAACTTAGTTCATTTAAAACAAATGCTGCTTCAGGCCAGGCCACTCCTGGAAATCTTTTTTTTTTTTTTTTTTAATTTTTATTCTCTAAGGACATTATTTTTTTAATATTTTTTTAAGTTGTAGATGGACACAATACCTTTATTTATTTTTTTAATGCGGTGCTGAGGATGGAACCCAGTGCCTCACATGTGCAAGACAAGTGCTCTACCACTGAGCTACTCCCCCAGCACCCCCTGGAAACCTTTCACACACAGATAAGGCAAAGCCTCCAATCTAACAGGCCAGGATTCTTCCCAAATGCCAGGGACAGAGCCCCAGGACACAGATTCAAACACACTACCTCCTCAAGCAGCAACAAACAAGAATGTTAGTCCCCACTTGGCAGCTGACCGGCTTGGGGAAGTCATTAAATTTCTCTGGGCCTCAGATGCTTTAATGAGTGAAGCTGGGGATACCCTGACTACCTGAATACAGGGTGAAGACCTCATAGGCCATTCCAGGCCAAAGGGCTAGGAATCCCAGACCCTCTTCCAAATAAGGTCGTATCTACTGCCTTTTCTGAACAAAGTTTCACTACAGCTACCCTCTAGGGCATCATTCATTTAATAAAAAGTACCCAAAAGAGAGCAATTTGTTAAGACCCCCAATACTAACTGAACACAGTACCCTATAGGAGTGCTAAGAAGTAGAGAAAGCTACAAGAAGGAAGCACTTGGATGACAAGCAGCTATACTATGGAGACATTTCCCCCCTTGCCTCCTCACCTCTCAGGGAGCAACATGCCACTGTCACTCCTGCCAAATGAAAACTTAAAACATATTTTTTCCTAAAATCAAAATGCTCATAATAAATTCTAAGAGTTATCTATATGTTTTTTTTTTGTTTTTTTTTTTTTTTTAGAGAGAGTGAGAGAGAGGGGGACAGAGAGAGAGAGAGAGAATTTTAAACATTTATTTATTTTTTCTTAGTTCTCGGCCGGACACAACATCTTTGTTGGTATGTGGTGCTGCTGAGGATTGAACCCGGGCCGCACGCATGCTAGGCTTGAGCCACCTCCCCAGCCCATGTTCAAATCCCTCAAAGACTCCTAAAATTCCAAACGTATCACAAACACAGAAGCCCAGAAACATAGAGACTGAAACAAGACAAGCACAGCTGGTGTCCTGAAAGGAATGAAACAGACACTCTACAGCCAGCTACCCAGTGGCAGCCTAACTAGGAGCTCTTCCAGCAAAACAAGGCGCTGGTACTCTAGTTCCAAAACACAAACTCACCACTTTCAGAGAATTTCAGATCTACATCTGTAGGAGAGAAAGGCTTTGTTTTTCAACTCAGAAAAGTTAAGTTTTCAATAGAAAGTTAAAAGGCAGAAATCTCTTCAACGTTTAAGAAATATATTTATATTTTTGGTGGGGAGAGGAGGAGATAGAATTTAAATAAGGGTGATTCTATGAATTAGAAATCGAGAAGTTACATATCCATCTGGGACAAGATTCTAGAAAAGACTGGGATATACAGTTCCAGCTACTAGACTGAGGTGCCTATTGCTAAAATCTAACAATGGCAATCTTTTCTCAGCCACTAGGAAAAAGGAGACGAATGGATAAAATGTTTTCCATTTCAAGCTTTTCTCAAGCTTTTCTTAAACCTTTAGCATCTGTCACCACTAGTCTATCCCTGAATCTAGTTTAAGAGGTATTATTTAACATGAAATTATATATATATTTGTTGTTATGTTTTTAATGTGCATTATAGTTATACATAATAGTAGGGTTAATTGTGCCATATTCCTAAATGCATATAACATACATTTTCTCCATTACAATTCCCAGTTCCCAGTACTTCCTTTCTCCCTCCCCTCCCCTCCCACTGGTCCCCTTCTATGCTCTATTGATCTTCCTTCTATTTATTTTTCAATTGGTGCATCATAGTTATATATAAAATTGGAATAGATGGCAATATATTCCTACATGCACACAGCATGACTTCTTCATTCCTCAGTTCTTCACCTTTCCTGCCCCTCTCACCCAATTACTTACGTTTAATACATCAAAATTCATAATATTCTATACAGAGTAACATGCTTACTAAGAACTTTTATTAACATGGGCAAATGTCCTCCTTATAAGCCCAGACAGCAGGTATAAAACTGTTCATATTGCATGAGCACTAACACCATCATCCGAACACTACACATAGAAACACATGCAGAAAGGTACTCAAAGAAGAAACACTGAAGCCACCACCTAAATAACTCTTACAATGTGCCAAGGGCAGTTGTGAATACTTGACCTGTACTAAATGTACTTAGTCCTCATATTCTAAAAGATAGCTACTACTATTATCCCTCAAGGGTAAATTGCCCAAGGTCACAAAACTAGTAGGTGGTAGACCGAGGACTCAAACCCAGGCAACTCTGCTTTCAGTCTGCACTCTCTCCTAAAGGTCAACACTAAAAAGTTACCCATCATCATTCCTAGATAGGAGTGATTGTGAAATTTATTTAATCTACTTTTCATTTACCAAACTTTCTTTGAGCCCAGTAAAAATAAATCAGGAGGGCTGGGGCTGGGGCTCAGTGGTAGAGCGCTCGCCTAGCACATGTGAGGCCCTGGGTTTGATCCCCAGCACCACATAAATACAATATATTAAAAAAAAAAAAAGTCAGGATAGAATAAAACAACTTGCTTTCCTGACAGGGTTACAAAGCAGTGACACAGGAAACATGACAAACACTACAGGGCCTAGACTCCCTCAGGGAACCCAGCAAGAGCACCTGAGATGCTGAGAAGACAGCAGCAGTGCCCAAAGGACCTCTAGGAGATCCAGCTGCTTCCGGAGTCCACACACCCATAATCACACCACAGCTGAGTTTCTCAGTCTCCACACTAGGGACATTTAGGGAGTCCTTTGTCGTGAGGACTGTCCTTTGCATTATAGGACACCTGGGAGCATCTATGGCCTCTAGCACACCACTACCTCCCACCCCACCAGTTATGGCAACCAAAAATGTCTCCAGACAGTGCCAAATATCCCCTGGGAGGTAAAATCATCCCTGCTTGAGAACCATTGTGCTTTAGGGATACAAGTAAGGTCTTGCACTGAATTCCCAAAACAACCAATTACAGAACACCACAAGTACCAAGCTGCCAACAAGGAACCGGCCTACAGTAAGATGTAGCACCTCAGGCTACTCACACTAAGATCAGACCAGAATGGAGAAAAAAGGGAAGACCCTCAACTATTTTCTTAGGGCAGCAAACTTTGTTTTATTTTATCCTAAGGGTACATTAAAAAAAAAAAAAATCTGACACTTTCCATCCATCACACACACAGAATCCTACACTATCCACTGCAACAAAGACCGACATCACCATATCAACAAACCACAACCCAAAGAGGGCTGAACCAGTTCAGCTCTGCTACCCCAGTGAAGAACTGGTGAACGGGAGGGGTTTAGCTTCATGGAGCCCACACAAGAATAAATCTCATTTTAACCAATAATGACCAAAGAACAGGGAAGACCTGAGCATTCTGGTTAAGCTAGCCTCTGTGCCCACACTGCCCTAACTTCTAACTTTTTATTCTATACTCCTGCTGTGCTATACATGCTTATAGATGTCTCAAAAACAATGTACTCCTGGGCCTTTGCAGATACTACTCAACCTGGAATGTTCTCCTGGAATATTCCTATGGGTCCTTCATGATTCAATTAGGTCAGAGGATGACTTCTTGAGAGGCTTTTAGTAGTGTAGCCTATGAACATCTGTTGAATGAACCGAAAAGACCTTCCTGACCACTTCAGGGAGTGTTAGCCATTTCCTTCTCGAAAATACCACTACTGTCAGTCACTGTTATTAAGAATATATCAAGGGCCAGCCTGGTGGTGCACGCCTGTAATCCTGTCACTCAGGAGGCTGAGACAGGAGGATTTTGAGTTCAAAGCCAGCCTCAGTAGAAGCAAGGCACTAAGCAACTCAGTGAGACCCTGTCTCTAAAAAAAATACAAAATAGGGGTGGGGATGTGGTTCAATGGTCAAGTGTCCTGAATTCAGGCCACCGTACCCCTCTACTGGGAAAACCATAAATATGTATACTGTAATTATATCGTATCACCTATTCTCAAAGTGTGGCCCAAGAGACTGGGAAGTGAGAAGGTCTTCTGAGACCCTTTCAAGATATCTGTGAGTTAAAAAAAAAACATGTTATCAATTACCTCCTTCATTTTCACTGTCTCACAAGTGTACAGTGGAGTTTTACAGAGGCTACCAAGTATATGAGTTGATCACTCCCACATTAGGTATGGAATGCTGAATAGCTAGTGGAATGTGTGTTTGTATATTCCTATGTTTCAAGAATTTGTTTTACTTCCCAATATAGAAAATACTGACAGCTATAACTCAAATAAACAACAGCTCTTGGGTTCCCCTGTAATTTTTAAGACTACAAAGAGGTCCTAAGACCCAGTGCCGTATGCTTCTCCTTACTAGGTATGAACTCCTGATGTACCATCATACATGTCATCAATCTGTCACCAGTTTCTTACTCAATGCTCACTGGAGTAAGTGGGGAAGTATGCTCTCTCTGGGGGAGACAGAGAAGAGGTAGTATCCTCAAAGTTTCCCAAAAACCATATGAAAGCCCCCTCAAGATTTCTAGCTCCCTGTACTGATTCCTATTCATGAGCAACTTTGTTAAGCACTTGTTTCCAGCACCCTGAGGTAGAGAATACCATACCCACTATAACAAACAATCCAATCATTTGCAAGCGATGGCCCCACACCAATTCCAACATATCCAACTGGCCTTTTGGTTTATACAGCAGTGTGCTTAAGCAGGGTCTATTAGGGTACCCTATGAACTTTTAGTGTAACCTCTAAACTTTTCTCATTCTCTCAGCAAACAGGTACTGAATCCCTTCTGTGTCAGACACTGTGCTAGGTGTGATGAATAAATGTGATCAAGCTGTAATTGTGACTTAAGCAAAAACACCAAGGCCAGAGGGTGTGGCCAACTCTTTGTGAACAGAGAGAAATCCAATT